AATCTATCTATCTATCTATCCATCTATCTATCGACCGATCGATCTGTTGGTGATGAGAATGCCCACCTATAAGCAATCGTTATCATATCACATTACATATTGCACATATGATATTAAGGTAAAGCCTGCTACTTCTATTCCTTTCCTTGCCTTTTCCTCCCTTCGATTCACTCCTGCTCTCAGTCTCGTGTTCATTTTCATTTTCATATTCATACTCATAAGCAGAATTTCTATTTCTTGAGAGATTTCTACCGTTTTGATTTTACTATTTTGACATCCTCCCCAGAATAACCCAAAGCATGTGCAACCCCTGAAAGCGCATTTCTAGGCTGCAGATTCCATACGTCACCCCTGCGGACCCCGTAACGCATCATATTCCCTACATTCAAACCGAAGCGGACGTCAAAAAGCCCGAGCACGCGACAGCAGTGCTTAGGTATCATTTGTTAGTGGTCGGGAAGTGTCTTCAGAGACACTTTCTTACTACTAACATTCCAATCCTCCATCGCCACATTGTTACCCTTTTCCTTCTCTTCTTTGGACCGGGCCTTCTTCAGTTACGAAGTTATGGATTATACCGGTAGCAGCCGTGATGCTCAGCATCTCTGCGTGCTTGTTCATGGGTGAGCTCTTCTTACTCCTTACTCTGCGAACCTTTGTATGTTGACGAGATAGACTTTGGGGTAACCCGGTTCACTTGGAATCAGTGGCGAAATCTCTACGAGCGAAACATTCCGATGAACACCTCCATATATTGGTCGCGAAGCGTAACAGCGGTAGCTTTACATATGATGGGATTGAGTTGGGTGGTGAGAGAGTGACTGCGGAGATAGAGGAAGAAGTCGAAAAACTTGCGAGAGAGGGTCAAGTTATCACTAGGTTCTCTATCGTTGGGTATTCCCTGGGTGGTCTTGTCGCCCGTTACTCTATTGGCTTACTTGATAGTAAGGGTTTCTTCGATAAAATCAAGCCAGTGGTACGTTGGTCTAATGAATGCAGGAATTCACATTAGACATTCTAATCTTGTTTTATAGAACATAACGACCTTTGCTAGTCCTCATCTTGGAGTACGCACACCTCTCAAAGGATCTCTGAATCATGTTTGGAACGTTCTGGGAGCAAGGACCCTATCAACTTCCGGTCGACAATTATTTACGATAGACAAATTTAGAGATACAGGAAGGCCGCTACTCGAAATTCTAGCAGATCCAGAATCAATCTTTATAAAGGGATTGGCCAAATTCGAAAGAAGGACTCTATATGCAAATATCGTCAACGATCGAAGCGCTGTTTACTATACCACTGGAATAGCAAGCACCGATCCATTCACAAATTTGGATAAGATCAAGATAAATTACGTGCCAGGTTACGAAGATGTTATTCTCAACAGACACAACCCAGTTTCCCCTTTAGATAAGACTAGTCTGAATGCTAGCACGAGCTTAATGGCTAGCACACGGAAGACCTTGGGAAACCTTCCTCTAATAGCCGCACTAGTTATTTTCATCCCATTCGGCGTTGTTGCCTTTCTCTTGAATTCTGCTGTTCAGACGGTCCGCAGCAGCAAACGTATTCGTCTACATGAACAAGGTCTAGCCGGTATTCAACCTAAAGACTATCGATTTCCTCTTCTTATCAATGGTATGCGTGAAGCTGTTGAAGATGTTTACGAGAATCTCAATGCTACTCAAAGTAACGAATACCTCAACACGCCTTCGGATTCGGACTTTGAAGATACATCGGATTCATCTCCTTTGATTAGAAAACGGACTAAATCCTTCCATAGCGAAGTTGCCGACCCTGAGAAATCCGATGTCGTTGCTCCTACCTTGACATTAGCACCATACCAATTTAAAATGATAGAAGCATTAGATAAGGTAGGTTGGCGAAAGTATCCAGTTTTCATTCACAAGGTTAGGCATAGTCATGCAGCTATTGTTGTTAGGGTTGACAAACCAAGTTTTGATGAAGGACGAATTGTGTTGAAGCATTGGCTGGATGAGGAGTTTATTTTGTAATGGAAAGCGAACGGGAGGTTTGATTTTTGGGTGGTAAGCTGTCAAGATATCGACATTGTCATGTTATTTTAGAAGATACCTAGCGGTCTTAGTTTGAGCATTGGCGTTTTGAGATTTTAGCATTAGAGCGTATAACATGGAGAAGTATTTGGAGGTCTTTTGAGCTTAGAACTAGTTGTAGAATTAGAATTTTTGACTTTTATCATGTATGTCTCCAAACTAGTTGCATGGTATTTTGGTCTTCAGTATCCTCTACATTTTACCTTTAGAAGCTAGGTGACAGCATCACAATAATCGATACAATTTATACTAGGTTCAATACAACAAACTAACTCCAAGTAACCAAGAAACATATGTTCGAAATTTTCAAATCGTAATGATGCCGGGCTGAATTTTTGTCCCTGTGGGTTCCCGGTGAGCTTCCTATAAGCTTCATTTCTTTCCAATTAACCTGCACTTCACGTGGATCAAACCCCGCAAAACAGCTTTACGCGAAAACGCGAACGAACGCGTCTCCGCAACATTTTCTGAAATCATGTTCAAATCACAATCCACGACTTCGAAATCATTCATCACATTCATAATTCAAACTCGAAATGGCTCTCATAGTGGATAAACATCGTCCTCGGTCTCTGGATCAACTTACTTATCATGATGATTTATCGGATCGTTTGAGAGCTCTTGTATGTTTTCTACTCTCTCATCCACAGATCCCATGCACTTACTTTCCTACATAACCCATACTCACAACAATTCCTCACATCTAGGCACAATCGGGCGATTTTCCCCATCTCCTTCTCTACGGACCTTCTGGGGCCGGCAAAAAAACCCGCATCGTATGTACTCTCAAAGAACTCTACGGCGGCTCCGTCGAAAAAATCAAAATCGATTCCCGCGTTTTCCAACTCTCATCTTCGTCTCGAAAACTCGAATTTAATATCGTTTCCTCTTTGTATCATTTAGAAATTACGCCGTCAGATGTAGGAAACTATGATCGAGTGGTGATTTCGGAGTTGTTGAAGGAAGTGGCGCAGACACAGCAGGTGGATCAGAGTGCGAAACAGAGGTTTAAGGTTGTGGTTATTAATGAGGCGGATGGGTTGAGTAGGGATGCGCAGGCTGCGTTGAGGAGGACTATGGAGAAGTATAGTGGGAATGTTAGGTTGATTCTTGTGGCTAATAGTACGTCCGGGATTATTGGCCCGATTAGGAGTAGGACTTTGTTGGTTAGGGTGGGAGCGCCGACAGAGGGGGATATTGTGAAGGTGCTTGAGAAGAGTGGGAAGAGGGAGGGGTGGGGGGTTAGTAGGGGGTTTTTGGAGAGAGTGGCAAAGGAGAGTGGTAGGAATTTGAGGAGGGCGCTTTTAATGTATGAGGCAGCGCATGCGCAGAAGTAAGTTTTGTTCCTTTTTTTTCTTCTTAGATGTATCTATCTATACTCTACTATATACTCTTATAAGAAATATCACACTAACTCACCCCAGTGAAACAATAAACGACACCACACCCATTCCACCTCCCGACTGGGAAGCACTCCTCTCAACCATCGCACACAGCATGACCATTGAACACACACCGGCACAAATCCTCAAAATCCGCGCGCAACTCTACGATCTCCTCACCCACTGTATCCCCGCCACCACCATTCTCAAAACCCTAACGTGGAAACTCATGCCATTAGTCGATGACGCATTGAAAAGCGATATCGTCAAATGGGCTGCGTTTTATGAACATAGATGTAAGACGGGTACGAAGGTGATATTTCATCTAGAAGCTTTTGTGGCGAAGTTTATGAGGGTTAGTGAGGAGTGGTTGATGGCTATGGAGGTTGAGTAGGTGGGGGAGGAGTGTTGAAATGTGAGGTTGGGTGTGGGTGGGGATGAGGACAGGTTATGGGAAGGAAGGAGAATTGATGAAAAGTTATGTAAAATTAGGTTAATTGGCGTTGGAGGTGTGAATTCGAATGATGTCGATATGGAAAATGACGGACGGATATTTATACTATCGATCGATGTTCTTGTGGTGGTTCGAGTTTCTATAGTATAATGATTAAATAGAAAATGAAAATTATATCTACACATACTAGGTACTAGGTAACTCGATGTATATATACCTACCTAGGTTTCTAGGTAGATATGGATAACTCAGCCAGTTTAGTCTCAACCTCCACCTCAATCTCAATCATAACTACAGCTACAGCTACAGCCACGACTACCCACCTATCATACACCCACCCATCCCAAATACAAGCCCCAAAGAAAAGAAAAAGAAAATTACGATTAAAAGCTGTTCGGGGGTCTCTATTTTTCATTTTTCTCTTCTATTTTTCATTCTTTATTTCATTTTCTATTTTTATTCCTCATTCTTTATTTTTTATTTTCTTCTAGATTGTTAAAGTGAATGGTTCCTGCGTAGCACGTGCACAGGGCACTAGTCCTGTTAGGACTAGATTGAGAAGCTCTCTTACAGAGAGCTTCGCACTTCCGTAGAACTTAGAAGAGAGATTAACCTACTAGACCAATATTACCTCAGTTCTGCCCTATCAGCTTCCCACTATTCCCTGTGTGAGGTCATTCCTTCTAACATAGATTATTATTTCAATTTTATTTTCTTTTAGATTATTATTTCTCTCTCTCTTTTTAATCTATTTTACTTTTTTATTATTATTTTATAATTTTATAATAAATTCTATAATAGAATATAATTGTTACGACCACGGATCTTTGTCACGATTCACCATTAGGATTAGTGTCTTGGGATGAAAAGTAATCACGTGATAAGGAGCCCTAGTAGCCCTCAAAGCTCCTGGGGGCTCCCTTTATCATTCATTATTGTGACCAAAAGGGTGTTTATAGACCAGCAATTGTATTTAACTTAGAATCTACAGGTGAAGAGCACCTGTAGATGGGGATAGCTACTCTATATATACACAAATGAATGGCCTAGCCGCAATGGCTAGGCAAAAAGAAGTCATATTTATTCCTCCAATGATCTTACTTTACCGATAACCATTGATACCTAGTACTTGTCCGGATCTGATCCTCAGGTCACCTAAATCGCATACTAATCTCGAGTAATCGTATCATGTGTGGACATGGTTAATGTACCTGAGGTTTCTTATATAATAAGGGTGGGAGGAAAGCAGGGATTTCCGTCACAATTATATAGTCAGAGTAGTTTCATAGTATAGGAGCTTCGTGCTCAACGTAGTTATCAATTAGTCTACCTACATTCTATTTGATCTAGTAACGAATTCACTTCCAAGTGAATACCAGTGATAAAGCCTTAACCCATAACTACCAACCAGATGAAACCTTAGGCAGCCGCTGTGACGCCTCACACCTTCGGGTCACGTGGCATGCCCCGTTTGTATTTAATCACAGGAAAACTCGCTACTCTTGTTTTCCTTCTTCTTTTCTCCTTAGCTTAGTATTTTCTAATACAAGATACTTTACCCAGTATTCTTGAGTGTGACAGCCGCTGCCTCCAGTACAGTATCGTTACAGAGAGCCTAGAGCATTTCCACGAGAATTCTAGTCGTTGAATCTAAGCAAGTATGGTTAGTCATAATTATATATTTCAAGGTCGAGGAAGTCTATACATTGATAATCATTGAACAGAGAGTATACTGATCAACTTCTCTAACCACTAGTATCAAGTGGGTGAATAGAGATCCACTTACAAAGACATCGAACAGATGTTTCTTCATGAGGTGGGGTAAATTTCGTATTCTCGAATGCATGCCCCTGG